CCTTTGAGAGAGCCTTCAGGCAGCAAGAAAGGATAGGACATTTGCCCTTGGGCTCAGAGTACAAATCATAAGAGCCTCATTCAGCCAGCAGACTTGCTTCCCTCCTGGAATGGAAGCTCAGTGAGAACTATTAGGAAACACTTCCATCTTTGGGATATGTCCTTACAACACCTGTGTCCCCTGCACAGGGTCCCTGATGGGCCTGGGTGATGTTATCTCACAGCAGCTGGTGGAGAATCGGGGTCTGCGGGAACACCAGGCCAGCCGGACCCTAACCATGGTAACTCTGGGCTGTGGCTTTGTGGTAAGTTCTGCCTGTGCAGGGCTGTCAGTGGACTTGGACAGTGGTCTTTCCATGTCATCCCTTGGTTGCCCTTGGCCTCTCTTTCATACCTAAGCCACTTGCTTTCCTCATTTTGCGTAGGGCTCTGCTAATTTGTTGCTAATTTTTGGTGGAAGAGATTTGTGATTTAAAAGCCAGGTTCTCTAGATCAACCACTTGGAAGGGGATCGGTACAGGAGATCCTGGATAGAGTGGGAGAACAATGTGGAACAAAACTCAAAATCATAAAAAAAAAGATCAGGTTTGCTGGTCTGATATAGCCTGGTGAGATCCCCAAGACTATGCCTCTAGCTACCCTTCAGGTCTGGAGTTGAGCTCACTCGTATGGCTTCCAGCCAAACAGGTATATGGGCTAAACATTTACATCAGGTAGATAAACTCTTTGGAGCAATTAGTTGTGGGAGAACAGAAGGGCTGTATTTTTACTGGGAGGCAGCTCAGGGGGCTGGGAATACATGGGAGGGAAGGACACAGGGAAGAGGTAACAACTGGGAAGAAGTGGGAAGAGAGCTGTTAACACTAGGGAATTGCAGTCATCATGAAACAAAATGTGTATGAACTGCTGTATGTTGTTGTTGTTACGTGCCATCGAGTTGGACCCGACTCATAGCGACCCCTCCTCGGGTTTCCGAGGCAGTATCACTACGGAAGTAGATTGCCCTATCTTCCTTCCGAGGAGTGGCTGGTGGGTTTGAACCACCAGCCTTCTGGTTAGCAGTCAAGTGCCTTAGACACTATGCTACCAGAGATCCCATGAACTGCTGTATAGAAAATGAATTTACTCTTTAAACTTTCACCCAAATCACAATAAAAATTAAAAAAAAAAAACAAGTTCTCTCCATACCGCATCCTAATCCTTCCATCTGGGGTTAACTTTCAGGGCCCTGTAGTAGGAGGCTGGTACAGGGTTTTGGATCGGATCATCCCCGGCACCACCAAGGTAGATGCACTAAAGAAGATGTTACTGGATCAGGTGAGCAGAAGGAAAAGGGAGCTGGAAGAGTGAGCTGTGTTGGGGGAAAGTAGGGACTTAGAGATATTTGTTTCTAAAGTCCATGCTCATAGAGCTTTAATTTCTCTTCTTTAGGGGGGTTTTGCCCCATGTTTTCTAGGCTGTTTCCTCCCACTGGTAGGGACACTCAATGGACTCTCAGCCCGGGACAATTGGGCCAAACTACAGCGGGTGAGCTGGGCAGGTGTGGGGAAGTCTGCTTGCAGGCTGGCAGTGTCAGGGGCATGAGGCAGGCTTCATGGGGATAAGAAAAATAGAAGAACAGGGAAAACCCTAGGCTCTGGACTGGAGGCGCTGAAGAGAGTGTGGCCAGGTGTGTTCTTTGAACTGGCATCTTTGTGTGATATTCAGACTGGGAGGTGGGAGCTGCTTGAAAGTGGAAGTGTTCATTTATTCTTTCTCTGTCTTCTCAGGATTATCCCGATGCCCTCATCACCAACTACTATGTAAGAGCTGATGCCTCAACTGCCTGTGTCCTGCTTCCTTAAGTCCAGAAATGCCTAGGGATGGGGGTACTCCTGGCATAGAAATCCCTCAGTGAAGAATACTCTCATTCCCAGGGTGGGCACTACTTAGGGGAGGACTCACCTAATTGTTCACCTTTTTCTTGTGTGCAGAAGTTGGGGTGAGGTCAGGCAAGGCAGTGAGTCTGGGGGTCAGGTGATAAAAGCAGCCACCCAACCTTTCCCTTCTCTCTTGTAGCTCTGGCCTGCTGTGCAGTTAGCCAACTTCTACCTGGTCCCCCTTCATTACAGGTAGGACAGAGCTCTACCCCACCCTTCTTATTATGGACAAAAAAACGGACCGTTAGAGAGAAATTATCCTCATTTCAACTTGGGCTACCTTATACCCGCAACCAGAACACTCTGTCCTGATCCGAGCTCCTCAGAATCCCAAACATCTTCCCCGTGGCAGAAACTGGCCCAGAGGGTCCCACCTGCTGCCCTTCCCAGGGAGGATCCTGCTTCCACAACCCTTGCCTCCATCCCACCTGAATTCTCCATCTTTGATGGCATATCTTTAGGGACATTGCCTGAGGTGCTGCAGCCTTGGTTAGGCAGAAAGGTCGACCCAAAAGCCGAGTAGGAACTTGGTCAGGTTAGTCTACTGCAAAGTTTATTTAACCTAATAAAATTGCTGGACCACAATAAAAAGTAAGAGTAGAACTAAAGATGAGTAGTTAAAATGATTGGAGGTGAGGGGGCTTTGGGAACTGGAAAAAATATGAAGCTATTCATATACATGACTAGCCTAACTCAATAGAATACAGATTTATTAATCAAATTCTAACCATCAGAATCCCTGGCAACATTCTTTGAAACTTGAGCAAGGTAAGTTTAAAACAAGGGAGTGTTATTCTATGTGGCAGGCAGTACATTTGTGGAGTATGACATCTCAGCTGGTATAAGACAGATAAATGTTATTTAGAAGGGACCTGGACAGGTGTGAATAATAGAGCCATTCATGGCAAGATAGCTGTTGAAGGTATTTAACCTTTGAGGCAGTTGTCAGAGAGGAAAGAGCTCTGAGCTGGTAGTTCTCTGGTCTGAGCCACACAGTCACTTCATGAGGGGCTAAAGGAAAGACACCTAAACTCTGGAATTTGTTGGAGATAACCCCTCCTTTTCCTTTTGTATTTTCAATTTCTTTTCCCATCTTTATACCCCTCACTTCCTCCTTATTCATCCTCTTCTCCATGATACCATTCGTGTTCCGTAGGTTGGCTGTTGTCCAGTGTGTTGCTGTTATCTGGAACACCTACCTGTCCTGGAAGGCACATCAGCTCTGAGCCTGCCACACTCCATTGTTTCTGCCTTACAGTGATGTATCTTAACCCTGGAATGGGTCAGACCACCTCCTCTAGGCCTTCACGGGGTGGGGTTGCTGGTCAGAACTTGATGGGATTTGCATTCTGAAATGGCCCATTTCACTTTAAAATGTAAACTGACTCCTTTTGAAATCACAAAGACCTTTATAATGGTCTTATACCCACCACATAATAGGCCCTCCACAAATATTTAACTGTGTTGATCTTGTTTGTCATCTTTAGTTTACACTTATATCCCAGAAAATGTCACTCCTCCCCACTCTGTATACACAGCCCTAGTGTAGCTCCAGCTATTTGGGGACCCCACCAACCCTGTGAATATGTTCTTAAGTATGTAACTGGGACCTGCAGAGTTCAGTAAGGCTAACCAGAAAACTATTGTCATTTGCCATCGAGTCGGACCCAACTCGGCGACCTCTCCTTGGGTTTCTGAGGCAGTATCACTATGGAAGTAGATTGCCCAACCTTCTTCCCAGGGAGTGGCTGGTGGGTTTGAACCGCCAGCCTTCTGGTTAGCAGTCAAATGCCTTAGGCACTATGCTACCAGAGCTCCTAGAAAAGTATTGGGGGGTCAAAATTTCTAGAGATCACCAAGTCCAGTCTTTTACAGATGAGGACAGTGAGTCCCATAGAAGTGACATAACCTGTCACATCATGAGCTAGTAGCAAAGTAGAAACTTGAACTCACATTTCCTTCTATCCAGTGATCTTAACATGAAAGTCAAATGTTATAACTGCTGTTTTGGTTCCTGAATTAAACTTGGCTCAGTTACCACTTTGGGCAAACTCAGAAATAGATGGGCTATTTTGTTGTTGTTCTTTTGTTTGTGGTCTAAAAGCACTCTGAGGTCAGGGACTCTCTTGTATGGTGCCTCAGTCTGGCAGCCCTAGAATTTAGATTCTGGGACTGGAAGATCAAGAATTCTGCAGGCTTTAGCTGCAGCAGACCAGTTGCCTAAGCCTCTTCTGGCTGGGTCCCATCGCCATAGCTGTCAGTCAGGCACTCTTGATTGCCTGAATTTTTTAAACTGATAGCTGGGGCTAGGGACTGAGTGCTGAGCATCATGGCAAGCTCCCAATGCCTCAGGCCCCTTCTGGAGGGGGAGGACAGGATCAGCACTGTGCATAGCCCCGAGGTCCCGCCTCCCTTTTGTGTGCTGGAGAAGATGCATCTCCCCAGCTAGTCTGGTCTGGTGTCGGGTCCTAGTCGTTGCTGACTGTGCTAAGCAGGGCGAAGGGCTGTTGTATGTCCCAGGGTGATCTCCGCTCTAGCTGACTTCTCGCTCTCCCAAGTCCTGTACTGCATCCCTGTGCTTCCGAGGCACGCCTCTCCAGGGGCTAACGACCCGCCGGACTCAAGCAGCGGCCGTCATTGCTTCTACAATCAGTTCATGTTCTTGGCTGACGTCAGTTGGAGCTGTCCAGGCTCTATATAAGGCTGGCGGCGGTCCCAGGACAGACCCCGTTTTTCCCAAGGTGCCCACAGCCCGCCCTGAGGGACAGAGACTGGAGCTCCGTCTTGCACCGTACAAACGGTCTGCGTCTGCAACAACCTGTGAGTGGTTCGGAGCATCTGCCCACATTCCCTCAGCACCAGGACTGCGTTCAGTTCATCCACCGCCACTGCCGAGAGGGAGGGAGGAAGGGGGCATGGGACAGGACTGGGGCTGGAGGGAAGGCTGTGGGCGCCGAGCTTTTAGCCCGAGGGTTCTAGCGGGGGTGCCAACCGTGTTGCGGGAGGGGAGTGGCGCCCCCTCTGGCTGCCCCAGGCGCTCCTCACCCTGCACTGCCCCTGTGTGTCCAGGGCCGGCGGCACCATGAGGCAGGCGGGATGCGCGGCGCTGCTGGCGGCGCTGCTGCTCCTGGCACTGCTGCAGCCGGGGAGCAGCCGCTGGAGCCAGGAGGCGGTGGCAGCCGGGGTCCAGGACCCGAATCTGCGATGGAGCCCCGGCACGCGGGGCCAGAGCGGTGGGGCCGGCGCGCTGCTCTTGCTGCTGGCGGAGCGCTTCCCGCACCGCGTGGGGCTGGGTCGATGGGGATCCGGGACAGCGGGAGAGCGGCTGCGTCGGGACGACCCCGCGCTGTCCATTGACCTCACCTTTCACCTGCTGCGGACCCTGCTGGAGCTGGCGCGGACTCAGAGTCAGCGGGAGCGCGCCGAGCAGAACCGAATTATATTCGATTCGGTGGGCAAGTGAGCATTCCGAACAGGGGTCACGAGAACCTTGACCCCATCCTTCACCCCTAGGGCTGGGACGTGTGAGACAGGAACTGACCCAGTCCCACGCGGATTGAGTGGCCCAGGGATACTCTAATCACTGTCTGCGTTACTATTTTTTAATAAAAGTACTGAAGAGCCTTTGGCTTCTGTTATGGTGGCGTGGGGAACCTCAGCCGGGTGGGACCCTATGGGAAAGTGGGACTTCCCAGGCGGTGTGATGGAACTAAATACTGCAGGTGGGCTTTCAGCCAGATCACTGTGGTCTGCACTGCCCCCAATACTTCCAGGAACTCAGAAGTTCCAGCGCCACCGCACCACCCTGACCCTCTCCCAGGCTCTGTGCACCTAAGCCCGCGCCTGACATCAAAGAGGTGCCCAGTGCCACCTCTGTTCCCAATGGTCCCACTTTGGGGAAAGGGCAGGATGGTGGTGGGGTCGCTTTCGAAGCGAATGCTGAGGGAGTGGGCGATGAAAGGAAATGCGGGTCTGGGACGCAGAAGTCTTTTATTGAGCCTCCTCCCCGCGAAGCGCTGAGCTGGGTGACACGGTGGTCTCTGCACAGATCCTCCGCCACTGCCACCCGAGTGCCAGAATCCGCAACAGGGATCGGGTCAGTGCAGGCCTGTGCCTGGGAAAAGAAGCTGAGTGGGTGGGTGCTCCAAAGGATCGAGGCAACTTGGAACCCCAGTTCACTCCCTTCCTCCAGCCATGTAGGTTTCTCCCGGACTTGCAGTCCCAACCGGGTCTCCCAAACCCCCAGTAGAATGGCGTGTGGGAAAGAAAGTGTACTTTTGCGTGCGCGCCGGGGGCACTCCTTTCGGGTTCGGGGGTAGGGTGGCACTTAAAATGAGTGGTTGCTCCAAGCAACCCCTGATGGCGTCGGGAGCGCAATCACAGGAGGAGTCTGGTGTGTTCGTGCCAGGTCCTGCCCCCATACCCCTCGGGCCACACTCACTGTCCGCCCGGTCCAGCCGCTCTTCCTCTGGCGCCGCGCTGCCCTCTTCCCCGTCCAACACTACTTCCTCATCCTCTTCCTCCCCTGAAGCGCCTGGGCGGAAGGAAGCCCGGGTGAGGTGGACTCACTGCTTTCCTAGTTGTTATGCCCCACCCCCCCCCACGCCACCCCCACCCACCCGGACGCCTAGTCCCATTATCGGCCACTCCCTACCTACCTCCCTGGCTCCCTTACCCGGTTGGAAGTCGATGGTTCTCAACATTTCCGCCACGTGCTCCACGCTCACGGTGAACTGCTCCATGCTCTCATAACCCGGCTCCGGCCGCCCTGCCAGCTCTACCTTCGACATTGTCCCGACCCTGCAGCAGCCACAGGAGCTCAGCTGGAAACACTCGAGCACCCTGAACCCCTCCTTGCCAGTGGGGCCCTCCTGGCCCTTCTTCACCCCTTTCTTTCCCTTCCCGCTCCGCCTACTCACTTATTGATCAGCTCCTTGGCCTGCTGCAGGGAAGAAAAGGAGGTAAGAGTAAGCACCGCGCTGCCCCCTGCAAAGTTCTGTTTCTGATTCCCTGCTGCTGGGGAGGAGGGATGTATATCCCATTTTCAGACTCAAAGGGGTGACTTTGTCGTGGGACAAATGGGGGTGAGAGACGAGACTAGAACCCTGGTCTCCAGATCGCAAGGCCCCCAATTCTAGCCACGAGGCGGCGCTGCCGACCTCCCCCAAAGGCCCACCTGGAGGTAAAGCGCCATCTGCGGCTCCTCCATGGACTGGATGGCGGACTCCACGAGCTTCGAGGAGGCCTCCAGGTGGTCTCCATACTGGCGGATGAGGCCGCGGACACGCTGCAGCTTCTCCTCCTGCTCCTTGGCCAACGCCTGCAGCAGCTCGCCCTTGCGCTCCTCCAGCACCGCGCACAGGGTCTCAAACCTCTGGTTTAGCAATTGCTTCTGCCTTCGGCTGTTGTCCTGGAATACGGGAAGCAAGGATGAGGGGAGGTATGGCTGAGACCCCACAGCTGAGAGAGTCTCTCCCTTACTTGTCCAGCTCTCCACTTAATGCAAGTCACGTAGAGCCAAGAAGAAAGTGACTTGTCCACGGCACACTACGATTTAGTGGCAGAGCCAGAATTCAAACAAGGGCTGCTGATTTTCAGATCTTTTCATTAATAATTATAACACAGTTTTAGAAAGTAGCTTACCTAAAAGATCTCACAAAGAACCAATGAGGTAAATACTATAGCATTATCATGACCACTGTTTCATACAGTAAAAACCAACAAAACCAAAGCACAGAGAAGTTAAGTAACTGCACCAAAGTCACAGCACCAGTGAGTGGCAGAGCTGGGAGTCAAACCAAGCAGCTTGGCTAAGCAGATCCAGCTACTTGTGTGGCCTATCTCTAGGAGCCCAGAAACACTCTAGCCAGTGAGAGTTAGAGAAGGGCAGAAAGGAGCAATTCTCTTGGGAGCCCAGGGTCTCCTCCCTTCTGGCCCAGGCTCACCTCAATGGTCTGGCACACTTCCTCCATCTGCGTGATCACTGCTTGCACACGGTCATTGCCTGCCACCAGCATCGCGATGCCATCACTGAGTTCACTCTGCCACACATAGGCCAGCACTCAGAGCTGGAGGACCTGGCCTAGGGCTGCACCTTTCTTGCCCCAGCCAGGGCTGCCCAGCAGAGGACTCCCGCCCTCCACCACACCATAAGAGCATCTGAAAGGCAGCTATTACAGAGATCTAGGGGACATGGAAATATCCAAGAAGTGTGGAAGCATCTCCTATGAATTCTGGAAGGGGTGGAGAGAAGCCCTTGATAACCAAATGATGAAGGAGTAGACATTCTCCAAATATCCACTATAAGCCAGACACTGCTAGGTGCTTTACCTGTAGATTTATGTCTTTCATCAGTTCTCGAAATTTCTTAGCCATTATCTTTTCGGACACTGTTCCCTCTTCTCCATTCCTTAATTCTCTCATTCTGGGACTCTGATTAGACATATGTTAGACCTTCTTTCTCATCTCTCAGTGCTGCATTCTGGATAATTTTTTTCAGTCCTATGCTCCTGTTCATTAATTTTCTCTTTTGAGAAATCTGTCATTTTATTACTCCTTTGGGTGTTTTATTTCAACAATTATATTTGCATCTCTAAAAGCTCTATTTGGTTATTTGTCAAATTGGCATGATCATTTTTAATAGCCTATTATTGCTTTCTTTTTTTTTTTAATTTTCTTAAGCATTTTATACATAGTGATTTTCTATTCTTCACTAATTCCAGTATCTGAATTCCTTGGGAGTCTAAATCTATTTTCTTTCTTCTGACTTTACTCATGGAGCTCATTTCTTCATGTATCTTTCACTGTGAGCTAGTATTTTATTGATCTTACTCTGTGGAAAACCCAAGGGCCTAAAATGAGGATGTTTTCCTCCAGAGTATACTTGTAGGTGCTTTTGTTAAAGGCAAGTAGCTGTGGTGGTGCAGTGCCTAAGGCGTTTGACTGCTAACCAGTAGGTTGGTGGTTCAAACCCACCAGCCATTCCACAGAAGGAAGATTGGGCAACCTACTTCTGTAAAGATTTACTGCCTCGGAAACCCAAAGAGGGTTGCTATAAGTCAGAATTAACTTGATGGCAGTGAGTTTGGTTTGTATGGGGGGGGGGAGTGGGTGTGGGTGTGTGTCAAAGGCCAGGTGTCACAATAAAACACTTTAGTTCCTGGATTTCAGTTTAGTCTTGTGAGTCTCAGGTCCAGGTCCCTCACCTTTTAAGGGTATTGAAACACAGTCTGTCTCTCTGTCTCTCTGTCTTTCTCTTTTAGGGACAGTGCAAACATTTGCCCTCTGGGATATGCTGACTTTCTTATGCTTACCACTCAGGATTCTGTTTTCAGCTCTTTCCCACCCTCCCTCAAATTTGGAGATTTTTATGCTTACCAATGTGATTTTTAAAATTGTGTTTTAGGCAGAATCTAGTTTTGTAATAGTGAGAGGACCATGAGAGTATCCACCATACTGAAGTCTTTGCTAAGTGTTCTCATCCATTAATATAATTTTATTCTCACAACAAATTTTAGAAATATTTTTATCCTCATTTTACTAAATGAGAAAAACAAGGGTCAGGCAGGTCAGTAACTTACCCAAGGTCACACATGGAGTTAAGGACAGTATTGGGACTTTAGCTCACATTTACCTGACCTCAAACCAAGTAGAATAAATGGCCGAAGTTTGAGACCTTGTGCTATGCCCTCCCCCATGATGTCTTCTCCCTCCCTGCCTGATACCTTCTGGCGTTTATAAATGGTGGGCAGTGGGGCCACCTCACAGTCCTTGTGGGCTCCAAAGACCTTGCAGAGAGAACAGGTGGGCACTTCACAGCTCAGGCAGTAGATATTGATCTTCTCATCCTCATGCTCCTCACACATGAGGTGCTGCTCAGCCTTAGAGTTCAGTGGCCTAGAGAGGACAGGGCAGGGGGGCAGACGGGTCATAGGCCAGACTGGGAGGAAGTGGGATCCAACAGTGCAGGGCTCCATGAACACCTCCCCTTCAGCCTCCACCCACCTCCACCACTCTGGGTAGGCAGAAAGGTGCCTTCTGGAGTGCTGTTTGTTTGGGGAATAGATAAAGAAGGTGTGGGTCCAGGACAAATCTCTAGTCCAGAAGGAAATCATGGAGTGTGGGCAAGGACCTTCCAGGTGGACTGCCATCCCCCATGGAGGTGAAGGTGACCTAGGACAAGTCTCTCCCCTTGTCTGGGTCCAGTCACCTCCACTCTATACCAAAGACTAATTGTTTTAATTTCTCTTCCCTGGCCCAGATGGTTTCCCTAGTTGTGTCTTAGGCCCTGGCCTTTAGAGAGGCAACAGCCCCTGCAGCTCACCTGGATGACTCCTGCTTGTAAATGTCAATAATGTTCTCCACTAGCAAGTTTCGCTGTAGGCCGTAGACACCGTGTCGGTCAAGGACAACCTCATGCCTGCAAGATGGGCAGCGAAAACGGCCTCCTGAAGATACAGTGGTGGAGCCCCGGGATTGCCACAGTGGGTTTGAGGCCTGCGGCACGAGAGAACAAGCACAATGAAGCATAAGAGAACTGGGAAGAAGCAGGGGGCATGGCCACAGGGATTCAGGAGTAGGAGGATGGTGGAGGGCAGAGGCATCAGCTCTTTTATTTGATTGGGGCCTTGAGAGGAGCTCAGGGTGAGTGGCCATAGAGATCTTGTTTCTCGCCTTTGTTCCATTACTCAGCCCACCTCCCTGACTGTCCCTACATCCAGATCCTAGCTTTGGCAAGGCCTAGTCAGGAAGGAATCTCCCCAAATGGACCCAGCTTGGAGTTTTGAGGAGGTGCTTTTGGTGAGTTTGGCCAGAAACTCCTGGCTTATATTCTCTCAGCTTCATATTTACCCATTTCAAAGAGGAAAGCATTTCAGTTAATTTGAAAAATTCTGAGAAGACAATGATTGGCCCAACTTGGGCCAGATGCTCACACCTTGGGCCAATCACTGAGGCCCAAGAAGCAAGGTAATATGAGGAGCCCTTCTTGGATCATGTGCCCATCATTGAAAAAGCAGGGCTCATGGAAGAAGATGGCAGCTCCCATTTGATCTCATATCATGAAAAAGAGATGTCTTCAAAAGAAGTAAGTTCAGGCATAGCCTCGGAGGGCATTAGTTATAAACTAGGTAATCACCCAAAATGTGCCTTATTACAGGCATTTTACATTATGATTAAGGGGTAAGGGAAGCTTTTCAGGATTAGGGACATCTATGCTAATCCTTAAGGAGCTCTGGTGGCATAGTGCCTAAGGCATCTGACTGCTAACCAGGAGGTTGGTGGTTGGAACCTACCAGCCACTCCACAGAAGGAAGACTGGGCAATCTATTTAATAGGGGTTAGCCAGGTAAAAGGATGGGGAAAGAGGAAAGAGTGTTTCAGACCAAAGGAATAGTACTTGCAAAAGCCTGAAGGTGGGCCATGACTCTCCATGTGCAGAGGACTGAACAATGCCATGCAAGTGGAGCTTGTGAGTAATAGAGTGGAGAGGGGCAGGTGAGAACCACCATGTGGAGATGGACTTGGCACTGCTCTCTAAGGAATCTGGACTTTGTTCTAAAGGAAATGGAAAGCCATTTATGAGTTTTAAGCAAGAGAATGATGTGATCAGGTATATGTTTTAGAAAAGCCACTCTGGTTATGTGTGGAGAGTGAATTGAGGGTAAGTGAGGGCCAGGTAAGGGACCACTGCAGTTATCGGTGTAAGAAGAGCTGGCCATCTGAGCTAAGGCATTGGAAACAAGCATTAGGCTAGTGTTCAAGAGAGGAAGATTTTAGTGACTGTTCCTACATCTATAAAAGAGTATCTGCATTGCAGATTTGTTGTTGAGAAGAGCAAATGGGAGAATGTTTGGGACATCCCCTTGTAAACATGAGGTCCCTAACATTCCTTGTCTATGACCCTGAAAGGGGTTGTTGTTAAGTGCCATAGAGTTGGTTCCAGTTCATAGTGACCCTGTGTACAACAGAATGAAACATCGCCTGGTCCTGCACCATCCTCAAAATCATTGCTATACTTCAACCATTGTAACAGCCACTGTGTCAATCCATCTCATTGAAGTTCTTCCTATTTTTTGCTGACCCTTTACTTTTCCAAGCATGATATCTATCTTGAGGAACTGGGCCCTCTTGATAATATATCCTAAGTATGTGAGCTGAAATCTTGCCATCCTCATTTCTATATTAGAGCTTAAATTCTAAAGCACTTGGTTCATGGAAGGCTGCTGTCTACAACGGGAGGCCTGACTCCATTTTGAGTCTTACATAAGTTTAGACTCCATTTCGGTTTTTTCTTATCATTCAACCATCTATGTATAGACAGGGAGCTCTGGTAGCATAGTGGCTAAGACACTTGCCTGCTAACCAGACGGCTGGCGGTTCAAACCCACCAGCCACTCCTCGGAAGGAAGGTTGGGCAATCCTACTTCCGTAGTGATACTGCCTCAGAAACCCAAGGAGGGGTCGCTATGAGTTGGGGCCGACTCGACGGCAAACAACAACAACAACAACATGTATAGACAAGTGCCTGGGAAACCCAGAGGGCAGTTTGCCCTCAGGAGGAGGGTGGTTGAAAGTAGATTATGCTCACACAATGAACTAGGCAACTTGCCTGGCTATGTCCTTAATGACTTATTGAAAATAGCCACGTGTTATCTAATTTAAGTTAAAGGTTGGAGTCCTGGTATTGTCTTGTAGCCACCTTATGACTATGATTTAGGGCCGAATAGTCATAGAGCATAACCTGGCCACCACATAACCAATCCTATAACACTATGTAATCTTAAGTTGTGTACATATACCAATCATGGTCCTTTCTCTGCTTCTGTAGTGCCCCCACCCCCATCCTGTGACAGTGATGAACTGACCTGCCACCAGCCATGATTTTGTGATGATTTCTTTTGTACTCTATCAAATATGATGAACACCATGACTGTGATTCACCCTCTTGTACTGTGTATATGCTGATGGTTTCCCTCATCATGGATGACTGTCTCTGCTTTTGTCCTAAGACTTAATAAAAGGGTCTATAGAACATGTTTGAATCTGGAGTTTTTTTTCCCCTAGAATAGTTTTTTTAAAAAACTTTTTATTGTGATATGTGTGAAAGTTTATAAAGCAAATTCATTTTCCATACAACAGTTGGTATGTATTTTGTTTCATGACATTGATTGTAATCTGCACAATGTAACAGCTAGCTAGCTCTTCCCACTTCTTCTCTATGGTTACCTTTTCCTGTATCCTTATTTCTTATGCATTCCTGCCTTCTGAGCTTTCTTCCTGCATAAATGCTGTCCTTTTGATCTCCCATGGTTGATTGTTCTAAGGAATGCACCTCCCTGATCTAACTGTTCACCCGTGTGCCTGACTATTATTCCAGGCCTAAAGGGTGGTTAGTAATGAGAATGAAAACACAACATACCAAAATCTTTGGGACACAGCAAAAGCAGTGATCAGAGGCCAATTTATAGCAATAAATGCACACATCAAAA